TAGAAATAGAATAGAGTAGAAATAGAATAGAGTAGAAATAGAATAGAGTAGAAATAAAGGTAAAGGTTCCCTTTCACATACATGTTAGTTGTTTCCAGCTCTAGGTAGAAATAGAATAGAATAAAACCTTTGTCACTTTAAATGTACACTCATCAACATACATTAAAATGAAGTTTGCTTTGAGCTCTAAGCCCATAGCGCTTATAAGGAGCATCCTGAATCATCTCCACTGTCCTCACCACTCTCTGTAGGGACTTTCTATCTGAAGCGCTGCTGCCACCAAACCAAACAGGGATGCGGTTTACTAAAACGCTCTCAGTCGTGCCTCTGTAAAAAGTGGTCAGGACAGAAGGAGAAATTATGGCCCATTACGGTTGCGGGTGGTGATGGGCATTAAGCAAGAGTGTGATGTGTTAAGCGGAGCATGGAATGGGGAATGGGGGAATCCCTGGGGCCATCCTGTGCTTTGCTTCCTGCCGCTTGGAGTCCATGAAGACCCCTCCTTTCCTGCCCTTCCTCCCCCCGCTCCTCCCTGTCTTCTCTCCCCACAAGTTCCTCCTGTCTTGTCCTTCCCAATCCATCCCAGTTCATCCCGTCCCATCCCCTGATACGTGGCTCACTTGAAAAGATTCCACACAATGTTCATTTTTAAAACTGGTGGAAGCAACGATAGCAACTAAACCCAGCATTAGCACATAACATTGTGACATTGATTAAACAACTCTGAGGTGAGTCATTAAAAATGTGTGAGATTGGTCCATAAATTAATCGAACTTACCTTTACGAAGAAAAGTATTGAAAAGTGCCAGGTGCGATAACAGTCAAAAGCCAATAAATCCAAAGAGTAAATTTTACAATGTTGCCTTTTATGGCAATCTTGAAGATAGACGAAAAGCCTAAATGTGTGATAAATGGTGTGGGGGTGGGAGGGGGAAGGAGAGAGAAGGAGAAGAGGAGAGACAAGGGGAGGAAGAATAGAATAGAATAGAATATGAATTAGGAATAGAATAG